ATATTCGAATAAGCTAATTTCAAATGATTCCATCGTTCAATGCCAGGATGATGGTGTTATGAAAAAGCGGTGCACTAAAAGAATTTCTGAATACTGCACTTTTCAAACGACGAGTTCTCGACTTCTATTCCTTCTGATGTGGACAAGTTTTCGGGTGAGCTTATTCACTTCTTCTGTTGTTCAATTTATGTTTGCTGAAGCTGGAAATTATAACCGGCAAGCAAATTGAACACACAATATCAAAACATCTCTGGACAGAGCAGACCGCTCGTTATCATTTGATAAGCATAGCGTCCTTGTTCAGAGCAAATGGTTCGAGCTTTTCACTTACACCAGGTTATTTAAACGATTCAGGCTGTGACTGCTGAAGTTTGCATTGTTGGAGCTGGTCTTGCTGGATTATCCGCTGCTGCACATCTACAGAAGAATGGCATAGCCTTCACACTACTGGAAGCTTCAAACCGCTTAGGTGGTAGAGTATATCCGACAGAATATCGTGAGTCATTGAGTCTTTCACTATTAAAAAGGAATGGTTAAGAGAACAGCACTATCCAACTCGGCGCCGAATTCATCAATGGTAAGGACAACGAAATGTACAGAATCGCCTCACGCTTGAGTAAGGATTTGATACTTTCCATAAGACACTGTTCCCTTTTCAGAGCTTATAAGTGGGAAAGAAGATGATTATAGCATTTATGAGAACAATCCATTGGTTGCTACAGGCTCCGCCCAATTCGATCCGTAAGATCCAAATGACCTCATCTTTGATACGAGAATAACGATTCAGAGAGCTCATGACCGCATGGTCTGAGTTCGTGGATCCTCTGGAGAATGAGTTTTATGAACAATCAAACGAACATTTAGCAATGACGATTGGAGAACTCTTTCGAAGCAAATATGATGTCTGGATAAAGGTGAGACGTGATCGAATTAACCCGTAAAACATCTTGACTGTGAAGGATCATGCGGAGAACAAGACAGTTTTCGATGAGCTCGCCAAAACATATGTGAACTACTACGAATCTGAATGGTCTGCTGATATTAACAAAGTAAGACAACTGATGTGTAACAGAGTTGAATTCTGCTGTTTAGCTTGCACTGGCGAACTTCCACCACTGGGACGATGGAAGTGAAGATGAATCTTCCTTCACGATGAGGGGAAAGGGCTTTGGGGTGAGTATGCTTTCTAAATTAACAAGCTCACATTGAGTTAAGGGTGTTTTGAAAGAAATCGTGAAACGTGTAGACCAGAAGAAGATTCGATTGAACTCAGAAGTATCGAAAATTGAATGGCAAAGTAGGTTTAATATACTTGAAAGAAAACCCCGGTGTTTTCAGCTTCTCCTATACGGGTTTCATTGTCAACCAACCAAGTGGTCGAATGTCAGACTGTCATATTAACAGTTCCACTAGGAGTGTTGAAAGCAAACTCTATCAGTATCCTTCCTGAACTACCTCAAGCGAAGAAGCGAGTGATCAATGATCTTGGTGAGATTGAAATGACATTCTGTGCGAAATAAACTATTGCAGGTTTTGGAAGATTGGAAAAACTTTTCTTAGTTTATGACAAGATTTGGTGGGATAAAGACGCCTCACACTACATCACTCTTAACTTCGGTGAAGAGTACAAATCTTTCGTCTCCAGCATCAGAGGATTCGAAAGCATGGATGAACAACCTAAAGTCTGATTTTGTGATATAGCAAAGAGACCGATTTGAATTCAGATGTTGAAAGTATGGATTTCTGGTTCAGGACCAGAACAACTCTCAAATCTAAGCGAAAATGAAATCAAGAAGGAAATTACATTCTTCCTACGAACTCAAATGAATGACTCCAGTATTCCAGAGCCTACAACTATCGTGATGTATAATGATAGATGTGATGTCTTCTCATTCTCATCATTTCAGACACAAATGGCTAGCTGACAAGTACACTAAAGGAGCGTATAGTTACATCACACCGGAAGCCTATACCCATTTCAAAGATCCCTATGGAGAAATGATGAAACCTGTGAAACATCAGAACAAGTTCACCATCAATTCACTGCTTGATAATGACAATGTCCTTTCAGATCAGTCATATGCTTTGCAGGTGAACACACTCATCGAACTCTTTACCAAACAACTAGTGGAGCTTACGAATCGGGTCTACGGGAAGCTAATAGAGTTGTGAATGAATTCAAAGAGAAGAAAGGTTAATGATCATTTAATTTAAATCTGTGCATATGTAAGATTGATTAAAAGCCTCACAGTACACTCGAATGTTCAATAAGGAATCGTTTTAATAATCTCCACCACCATCCTCCTTGCTATCTGACGGCAGTAGATTATCATCTGTAAAAACAAAATGGTTCGTCAGAAGAAAACTAGAAAATCCAACCTTCATCGTCACTTTGTACATTAGCTTTGACATTGGTGGTTCCTGAAATAGATTGATCTATAACATGAGACAATCATGATGAGGGTAAGCAGTGAGAAGCGACACAATCATGCAATATTAGTAATGGCTGGTAGTAGTCATCGATACCTGATCCCCAAACGGCACCAGAGGTGTCCCAATCGTCAAAAG